ATTCCACTGCAGAAAATGAAAATAAATCATACCCAAGCCAACCAGAAATTCAGGAGTTTTGGGAAAATCAACTTTCAACGCCAGCTACTTATAACAACAATGCTTAATGGATTAAAGATACAACGACCAACTGTCAACGTTTGAATAATATTCCTTACAAACCCTTCACCACTTAGGTAAAGTCTTACAAATACTATCAAAGAGCTTCATAATTGGAAATCCCCTGGACCAGACGGAGTTCAGAACTTCTGGTTAAAGAAGTTTTAGAGTATTCATGAGTATTTGTCAGATATGGATGCCAAGTCCAAGAACCAATCCAACATCTTAGCGGGGGCTGCCAGGCGTCTGTCGTTACTGATTATAAAGAACGCCATGACTCAGTAGGAAAGATTATCCAACAAGAACTAGTTGACAAAGTGGGACTTCTTCAAACCGACCATCTTCCTTATTATCAATACGTCACTGACAGAATGCTTGAAAATAACAACTACAAGCTATACTGGGACCGCACTGTGCTCACAGACCAAGCAGTGGAACATAATAGACCGGATCTCATACTAGTTAATAAACTTACTAACGAAAGCAACACTTATTAATGTGGCTATACCTAACACCAATAATTTTCATGTTAAATATAACGAAAAGATCGCCAACTACAGAGAACTAGAAATACAAATCAGAAGACAATGGAGAATGGAAAGTACTCAGACAGTACCTGCTATTCTATCTACTACTGGTAGTATTCCCAAAAACCTCTTACAGAACATAAAACAGTTAGGTTTAAATGAACATCTCTATAAAGCCATGCAGAAAACTGTACTCCTTGCAACGCTGACGTCCAGATGTGTATGAAGATTTTTGGGAGATACTCCAGCATACCAAATCACCTAGGTCTCGATAACACGAAAAGAGTCCCACTAGTAAATTCTCGTCAAAAATTAGAAGGATTTTTATCATTTTCTAGTTTTTCTCCCTGCTTTTAAACGGTGAAATTTTATATTTTTGAAAATATTTCTTACTTTGAAAACCCTGTACAGTTTTAAAATATGTTTACTGGTTAAGCTTTATAACTCACGCTAATACGTTTACATTCTAAAAGCATTTATCTTTAAGCTTATATGACAAAACGAAATTTAAAACGAAAAAATAATATTTTTCACTTCCATGTTATAATGTAATAAATACTTTTTATTAAAAAACAACACCATTATGTAAAACTCTTAATAATAACTCTTAAAAATTATTCTGTAATATTTACTTTACATTAGTTAGTTCAAAATGATTATAAAATGGTTATAAAATCATTTTTGAATAAAAAGATAAACTTTTAAGGAAAAAGTTTCCTTGCAGCTTATTTTATTTTCCAATTTTTAATAAATGTCTCCTTCTTTTATTAAATGTAAAGACTAGACCAAATCATTCACACCGAATATCTCAGTTTCAATAAGAAGCGAAAACTGGCAAGCTCCCTTAACCCAAGCTTTTCATTAAACTTGGCGTTATTATAGTACAGAAAATTTAGATTGCGTAATAAAGAAAAGCGGAGATGCCGTAAATGTCTCTGGTTTATTATTATAGTACTATCGTTTAATTGTGTATTATCCGCTTACCATATTTATCGAATTTAATATTTGTAAATTTTGATTATTACGTTTATTACTAATATTCTAGACATAGCAATATTCAAATAGTCGATCGGATAGCCAAGCGGGCTGGACGGCTGGTTTCTCATTCGCTTTAATGCGAGAGATGTCAGAAGTTTCGCCGGGATGTTACAGAAACACTCTTTTGACTTTTGGTCTAGCTTTCGGAATTGTATAATTCCTTTTTCAAGACACTGTAATTAGAAAAATGTGTAAATACTTACAATATATCACAAAATGTCACTGCAACAAAGATTATTTGTATAAAGCTATGACACTCGACATTAATAACACAACATATAAAATAGAACATATAAATAATGGACAAAATACCATTTTAAAATTTAGTTTTAAAGAGCATAGTAAAAAATTGTATGTGACATATTTGAAAGGTGTGCGTTTTTGACTGACCCATAGAGAATAGAAATAAAGAAAAAAAACAACAAAATAGTATGATTAAATAACCAAAAAACAGTATTGTGGTGTATATATGTACAAGTAAGTCTTTATTTCATTTTGATGTTTTGTTAGTAAATAACAATAAATATTGCTCATGTTTATCTATATCAGACTTTTTATTTATACAAGACGTTATTGGATTTTATGAAACACATTTCCAAAGGAAACACGTTTAGAATGATTTTTTCCGTTGCCAAAATACAGGAATCCTCGAAATTAAATTCATGTTTTAAACTTAATGCATGTTCTGTCAACGCGCATGCGGTAATTTTTTTTCTCTTTTTTTTTTGACATGACAGAACATGCATTAAGTTCAAAACGTGAATTTAATTTCGAGGATTCCTGTTATTTGGCAAGGGAAAAAACCATTCTAACGTGTTTTCTTGAAATGTGTTTCATAAAATCCAATACGTCTTGTATAAATAAATATTTATTTATTTAATTACTACAGATATTAGATATAGCTCGACACTTTAATTATACAATTTTGAGTGCGACGCATTTATGGGAAACGAAATATAATATAGCAACCAGACCTGTGAACGTGTGTTTTTTGTGGTAGTTTAGTTTTGAGTTTTCAGTAATCTTTGAAACACCATTTGCTTCGGTCCGCGAGATAATCTACAAAAACTTACCGTCCCTTCGAGATTTAATTACGTTTTACAAAATAAAATATTAACAGTTTTCTTTACTTTTTATTTAATTTTTATATTTAATTAATTTTGGAGTTCGTGGTAATAAGTTTATCAAATACGCATCCACACAACCACAGAACACATATTCTTTCTGTATCGCTCTTATCATCATCAGTGGTACTACAGCCAGTCATTTTGACCTTCGCCAGTCGTTTCTGTTTATCGCCAGTTTGCTGTGCTGATCTTCTTGTCGTCCTCGTCCACGCTATCCCTTCATCTCAGTCTTGGTCTACCTCTCTCCTATTTCCTACTGATGCCGCTAAAAGGGCCTCGTCTGGGTGGGTAATTTTCATTTTATCTTGTTATATGTCCAGCCAATCTAAGCCTGCCAATTTTTTTTTGAATGATATTAAATCTCTGTCATTGACTGTATTCTATTTCTATTATTATTTAAAATTATTTAAAATAAATAAATCGGCTGTGAAAATAGAACAACATTCAGGAATTTGATTATTTCTCAACATAATTGCTGTTTGAAATAAAAAATGCCAGCACTTCATCCATCCAATCATCCAAAGCGATCCATCTGTATAAATTATTGTTAAATCTTCCCCTAATTTGACTAGTATGGATTTAAATATCAGATTAGTTAGAATTGGCAAGTCTAAATAAGAGGGCAATATAAAGGTTGGTTTGTCTATCAGAACTTCAAAGTTTTGTTCATAGAAAGGAAATTTATTAGCAGTACCTAATCTATAAGATTGGTATGAATTCGTATCAATAAAGATTCTGCAGAGGAGGAGAATTTTTTATTTTCTAGTAGGAATCTTTTTATAATTTCTGTCTGTTTCTGTAATGTAAACTTATTTTTTGTGAACCATAATTGTATTAAAACGGTCTGTATGTTATAAGACGTTTGTTGGCTAACATTTACCTAGGTACGAGTAAAGGTAGTTCTTGGATTTCTGCTAGAACTGATATATTAAGATAAGTTTAATTCCACACTCGCACTTTTTGTTACATACTTTATATGGCTGGACTACAAGAGTTTTATCGAGGATTATGCCTAGATACTTATACTCTTCTGCTAAAGGAAACTTGCCTGTGACTAATTTATCTACATTTAGTGAAACATACAATCGAAGATTTATCTCGTGATATACTAAAACCCTATATCCAAAAATCAAACCAGACATAACTGCTCGGGGAGCAAAAATCATACTTGCCTTTGCGATGACGTAGACGCAGTAGCACAATCAATATTAGAAATTAGGATATTTTCTCGAGCTTTGAAGAAGCTGCATTAAACATCGGTCTAAAAAATAAATGAAGACAAAACAAAATACATGGTCGTCTCAAAACAAGAACGACGGCAAATTAGGCAAAACATTACTATAAATGATTACAACTTCGAAGTGGTTAAAGAATTTAAATATCTAGGAGCAACAGTCACCAATGACAACAGATTAGAGCGAGAGTGGAAACAAGAATAATGGCAGGAAACAGATCTTTGTTTGCAATGCAACATCTAATGAAGTCAAAACTTTTTTCACGAGGTACAAAAATCCGAATATATAAGACCATAATACGACCAGCAGTCACGTATGGAAGCGAAACATGGACGCTAACAAAAAGAGTAGTAAATAAATTGCTGGCGTGGGAACGTAAAGTTCTTCGAATGATATATGACCCTTGCAGGGACAGCGTAACCAACGAATGGCAAGGCAGATACAATAACGAGCTAGAGTCTCTATTTGGAAAAGAAAATCTAGTCAGATATATAAAGGCCAATAGATTCAGATGGGCACGGCATGTGATACGAAGTAACGACAATCGCCTTATAAACAATGTGTTCTGGAAAAGGCCAGATGGAAGAAGGTCTGTAGGGCAGCCTAGAAAAAGGTGGAGGAAAAATGCAGTCAAAGAAGATCTAGAGATGATCTTCTTTGATGATGATGATGACTAAAAAACCCATTTATTTTGCCCATATTATATGTTACTAAAGCTGAGTTTTAGATTCTACATACAAACTTCATAGGATTTATGGCTGGTATACAAGCATATCGTCTGCATACAGAATTATTTTGCATGTGTTATCGAACCATTTAGATCTGCAGTATAAACATTAAGTTTTTTTTTATATTTCTACCATTTAGTCCTCTTGCTTTTTTTGTAATAGTTCGAGTTAATTAATAAAACCCTAAAATTTAATACTAATACAAAATTATTAATATGATGCATTTTTCTTGTACTATTATTTCAGTTTCGCAGAACCGAACCATTACGAGCGACAATCAACAAACTTCATCAAAGGCGGCGGATCAAATTACGAAGACGGCGTAAGGGCAAGCAACGGCGAAAAAGGCACAAAAGGATATTCGAATCGAGACGAATTTGCGAAAGGCCTGAAGGGCCGACACCAGAACGACCAAAGAAAAGGTTTTTATGACGTTCTCGGCGGAGATAAACGCGGTCACCAGGAACAGGAAGGGCACTACTCCACTAAGCATCACTCAACTAAGGGCAATAAGGGCGGATCCTTTTCCGAAGAGAGCAGTCACGATAAAGGGTCGAAAACAACTGGATATCATAAAGTTTACCATAAGGATGAATACAAAAAGGATAAGAGTTTCTATGATAAGCAGGATAAAAAGGGACACTTCAACAGGTAAGCTTTAAGTTTATGTCGTGTTTTTACGGCTCTTAGCGGACCTTTCTTCTCTAGTGCAATTCGTTATTTTGCTATATAAAGTTACATTAAAAAATACCTAGAGTTATGTAGCTCAAAATATATATAATATTTTCTGCTACATGAGATTTATTTTATTAGAAAACGTTTCTTTTTGGTTTATTTAATGCTAAAATAAGAATAAATTGTATTCGCTCCGAGGGTTAACAAAGTGTCAAAGCAAAATCGACTGACCTGCTCATGGTGGCGATTGCTTGAAATATACACTTTCGTATATTATGTTAATAAATCTTTATAACGACAAAAAATATTTTTGTTGAACTATAAATGTCACTATAAATAGATAACTAATTAATTCTAAAAATTGGTATCCGGATATAAACACTACAAAATAAAATATTTAAGTTTAACAAAATAATCCCATAAGACTTATACTAAAACGTCCTCACAATCTGACAGCGTGTCACGTGACTGTAAATAGAGGGGAGACCACGGAGCGAATATACATATACACTGCGTGTCACGAAAAAGAGGCCATCTAGAATGTTGTAAGAATTTTTTAATAACTTTAAGTTTATACAATTTATTCTATTGTAACTAAATTCCCACAATGTAGAAACACTTTTAGCGTCAATTAAGGATAATAAGTTTTGCAGAATTGATATTAGTTTTACGACTTCGGATAATGCACGAATTATTTGGTACGTATTTTTTTGGAATATGGCTATTCTGTTCTTCAAAAACCGTTCAATAGTGTACAGTTGTTCGAAGAAAAAACTTGTGCAATTTTTAAATTAAAACTATGAGAATGGTCATGGAATGAAATGAGTCAAAGAAAAGAGGGGCAGACAGCTTGGAGTCAGTCGTTGTATGGTCCAAAAAATTTACTAACGATTCGTAGAGACTGGATCTTCCGAATGATCACCAGGATCAGGCCTGAAAATAATCACGACGGCCAGAGAAAACCGTTCTTTATAACACACTTCTTTGCAAAATCGGTTCTTTACGGCTAGATAACACCAAAACCGTTTTCAAAATGCTTACGGGTGGACTTTAAGCACTTCTACCGTGAGAAGAAGGTTGAGGGAATTTGGTCTAAGGACTCGCTATCCAGCAACAGGACCTCTGTTAACAGCAGCACATCGACAACGCCGATTACAGTTTGCTAGAGACCACGAGCATTGGAGGATAGATTAAAAAAATGTTTCATTTAGTGATAAGTCCAGGATGGTTCTTTATGGCTCAGATGGTCGCATCAAAACATACAGAAGACGTGGAGAACGATATGCTGCTTGTGTTGGACGAGTACGTGTTGCCTTTGGGGGAGGTTCGGTAATGTTTTGGGAGGCATTTTGTACGAGGGCCGTACTGAACTCATATTTATTGATAGATGAGCATTGAATGCACACCGATACATTACCGAAATTCTAGATGAGCATGTTATGCCTTTTGTTGGGTTTTTCGACAAAAACTTTTTTTATGCAAGACAACGCGCGGCCACACGTAACCAGAATGGTAACACAATATCTGAAAACTGTCGATGTGTTAAAAGTAAACTGGCCGGCTCAAAGTCCAGATTTGAACCGTATTGAACATGTTTGGGGCCAACTCAAAAGAAGGGTAAGAAACAAAATACCTGCTTCAATAAATCGTGAGTAGCCTGGGTTGGCGCTCATGGAAGATGGGAAGCTTTTCCTCAAAACGACATACGGACTTTGATTCAATTCAATACCAAATCGAAATGAGGAGTGTAATTCACAATAGAGGTAATACACAGTATTAATAATCACGACTTAATTGTAATTTTATAAAAAAACAGATAAAATTTACAATGTTAATTTTTTTTATTTTTCAATAAAATCATCATCTTGAAAAAAAGATATTTTTGACATTTGTTATTTAAAAAATGATTGCATGCTGCTTTAGAACGTATTCTTAAACATTACACAAAACATCTAATGACAATCACTTTGTGGTATGATTCGTAAAAATTAAAAAATGGCAAAAATTTTAGGGGCCTCTTTTTCGTAACGCGCAGTGTATACTGTTATAATCTGATTTTAACCTGTTGGTGTTGAAGACTCAACTAATTGAGTAATATTACCATGGTGGTCGCCAACATCCGAAACGGATAGACACTACAACAAGAAGCTCTGAGTAGCTATTACTACTACTACTTGTCGGTTTATAACGTTCTGCGCCGTTTTCCGACTTTCAATCGCCACTTCGTCCGGTTGTTCCATAGGTCTTCTTCTATGGCCCTCTCTCTCAGTTCTTTATTTAATCCGTCTCTTCTACTTTTTTCTCGGTCTACTTCGTTTTCTCTTTAATTCTGGTTGCTATTTTAATATTTCTTTTGGTATTCGTTGTTCGTCAATTCTTTGTATGTGTCCGAACCAGATAAGTTGTTTTGTTGTTAGGTCATCTGTGATTGTTCGTTTGATTTTCATTATTTCTCTAATGCGTTCGTTGGTAATCCTATCTCTTCTAGTTCTTCCTACGGCTTTTCTACAAAAATCCATTTCCGTCGCTTTTAGCGTTGTGAATGTTCTTTCTTTCAGTGGCCATATCTTATAGCTGTATAAAGTGATACTTTTTACTATAGTCTCATATATCCTCTTTTTATTTTCTTTGCTGATGGATTGGTCCCATAAAATGCTGTTTAACATTGTGATTTTATTATTGTAAAAGGGTGATTTGTTGGCGATTCTGCTATTTCTATTTATTTTTGTAAATAATGTAATAAAAATATTTCTAGCTTTTATTCTTATTTTAATTATTCTATTGATAACTTCACTACTAAATACATTATTACTAATCGACAATTTTGCGACCTTTTGGTCGCTGGTCCTTCGAGGTTTTATTCATTTTTTATCTACCAAATGTAGGAAGGTGGGACTATAATTTTTCAAATATTTACTCTCAAATAATCGAACCAGCTACCCTACAACGGTATTAGATTTTTGGTTCGATGCAGGGCATCGAATATATACCTATATATACCTATATAGGTATATACCTATATAGGATATACCTATTATCGAAATAACTAATAACAAACGTAACAACGCTATCTAATAACAACAAGAGAAATCATACGATTTTCTACCTAGCGAAACTGAATTCAAATTTTTACCACTGTGCCTTCTACAACTTGCAAAGTAAATGGATTGATAAATTACTTGGCAAGGGAAACTAAAATATGCATTCCACCTGCCGTGATGCAGAGCAGTGGCCTATACCGCTCTGATGAGACCTAAAGGGGTCAAAATACGTATAAGCGGCATGCCGCTGCCCTGCATCGAAACAAAAATCTAATACCGTCATTATGTTTTATTTCTTTACCCCTGTTTGGAGTACCAGAAACTGAATTCATGTGATATCCTTTCCTTTCATTTAACCTGTCACACGCTCCAATCTGACCAAACACAAAGGAGATTTAATGTATTGCCCTGTTAGCAATGCCGCAATGTGTTTTTTCTGTCTAATATATTCGCTACCGCTTGTGCTTTACAATGATGTATCATACGTCACGATCCAAAGAACTATTCTACCACTACCACAAAACGCTCAAAAAATAATTTACTTCTACAGAATTTTGTTTAACTTGATTTAATTTTATTTACCTTTATTTAATTCCTATTAGTTTTTAACTTTATTTTATTTTTAAGTAAGTAAGTATATGTTTATCTTACCCAGTGACATATAATAAATAAATATTAAACGTCATTGAACTTTTAAAAATGTTGTTAGAATATCCAACATAAAAAGTGGATGTTGTCCTATAGTTGTTTTAGATGAAGTGACATTGTTGATAGTTTAATGTAATGTCAACAATGTATTAACTACTGTCAGTCAATTTTTTGCATTGTTCTGTAGGCAAAAAGAAATAAAGTACATATTGCCTTGTCTTTGGATGTCTTCAAACTCCACCTAACTTAAATTATAACAGGTTTTGGGCCCAGTCCACGTGTGAATGTGAACAAGTTAGGTTCGTACTTCATTCAGTTTTTGTTTGTTGTTATTGTCGTAAATAAAATATGGCGACCAGCAACAACGATTATAAAATTCAAGTTGACAAACTCGAAGGTCCTGAAGACTGGGCAAAGTGGAAATGGCACGTTCTGATGTTATTACGTTCATATGCACTTGAAGACATTGTAAACGGTATGTGTAAGTGTCCTGAGGTTAGTGAAGATTCAACTTCAGTAGAAATATAGAAGCATCAGTAATGGTTAAAAGGACGATGCGAAAGCGGCAAGTTTGTTAGGTAGGTACGCTAGGAAAAACTGTTGCCGAGCTCGTGTTGACGTGTACTCACGCTAGTGAAATATGGGACAAATTGCGTGCGAGATTTGAACGTAGCAGTACGCAACGGTTAAACATTAAACATGATGAAAAAGAGATATTAGTACACATTTTGCGAAGTTGTAGAAACTGTTTGTAGATTTGAATGATGAACTGCAGAAGCATGATGAAATGTTTTATCCGAAAGAATGTTAAATGGTCGGATCTTATCGATAATTTCAAAGATTTGTGGGACACAATACCATCAAAGAATCAAACTTTGAATTTGCTGATTGAGAAATTGTGTACCATTGAATTACGTGACCAAAGTACTGTAGAATCTTTTGCGTTTGTTGCACCCAATAGCCCGACAGGAAAATACAATCAGAACCAAACTATGAAGTCAAAGAAAAATGTACATCGTGCAAAAGAAAAATTTCCATGTCATAAATGCAAGAAATTAGACCATTGGGCGAAAGGGTGTCCGTTGAAAAAATCAGGTGAGAATGTAGGTAAGAATAAAAGTAATGATACTGCTTTTTTGTCTGTTGTTTTAAGTGCCTCATCTAACAATTGTATTGAAGCTGGAAAATGGTATTGTGACAGTGGAGTCACAAATCGTATCACTACAGATAAGCAGTATTTCTCATCTTATACAGAATTTTCTGAACCAGAAAGTATATCACTGGTAA